ATTTGAGGTCATCAGGGTCAGATAAGGGTCAGACCAGGTTCACTACAGTCCCCCCTTTGGAAATCATCACCTGTCCATGGGGATGAATTCCAACCGTGAACTTAGACCTTCAAATGTCCTTGAGCTTGATGTAATCCAGCAAGGAAGACCAAAGTCAGAAGTAATCCTTCAAGGAAGACCAAAGTCAGAAGTAATCCACAATGTTCTTGGTATTCCATTGTGTTGATTATAATCCCATATCGTCTCGATAATTCCATTGTAGCAATGCTTTAACCCCTTGGAAACAGAGTCTGTAATCCATTGGCAAAAGTCATATAATCCACAACGGTAAATCCACAGCGATTGGAAGTGTTGATTAATCAGCATACAGAGGGGTACCCTTGGGTTGGACTGAAGAAGCGGCCACTGGATGAAGAGTGGAGACCAACGTCAGGATTGCAGGTCGCCTCCAGCGAAGGTTGTCTCCAGCGACGTCCAGCCTGTGCCGTTCTGGTTCAATGTGTCATGCAATTATGTGGTTTAAGGTGGGCTTATGAAGGGGATTTTACATAAGGCCTTAAACTATATGCATCTGGTGTGTAAGCTATTATGGTTGGGAACAGCTACGACTACCAGTTAAGGGGTGGATAATGCTGAAAAGGGGTAACTACAGGGGTTTAAGCCTATAGAAAAGGTGTTCCAAACTATTTTTCCATTTCTAACTTGGTTTAAGTTAGCTTTACATGGTAAAATATAGTTTGGTGTAATTGTCTGTTGTCTTTTTAGACGAACGACTTGAGATTGGGTGTTTGGTTTTCCCATAAATGTTTTAGAAGTCTATGGCGAGACTTATCAAAAAGAATTAGCTATCCCCCCGAATAGGATTGTTCGAGTAGGTTCGGCTTAAGCGTTGTGAGATCAATGTAGATTATGGTACTCAAGGTAGCAATAATATACATTGACTCCGCAAAGATTGCAATTTAATGAATGAACTGCATGTTGGCATGGTTAAAGGCCTCTTAGTCTCTAACTTAACTACACAACAGAATTCATTCTTCCTTCAGAAACAATACCAAAATCAACTAAACAACGTTTCGACACCGACAAGAGTAGTGACTAAGCATCTAGAAACATCGTTTCACTGCTTCTCCTCACCCTGGTTGCCAGATTTCAGTCACGCTGTCCCGTTTTATCAAGGGTAGGTCCTGTGAATTTAAACTATGGTTAAGTTTATTATCCATTAGTTATCTTCTACAGGGATGACCCTTGTTCCCACGAGGTCAGATTTTGTGAGATCTTTGTCTCCTAAGGAGTTATTGCACGCCTTGTGTTGTTTAACCTGGTTACGGTGTACCCATTTAACAGTTGGCTCTTTTTGGCCTTTACTGATTTTTATCTGGTAGATAATTGGAGACACTTTGTCGGTAATCAGATGGGGTCCAGTCCATCTGGGCATCAGCTTACGGGCGAGAGTTCCGGTCCCGGACTCTACTCTCCCAGTTTTGGGTGCAAACGTGTAGTACCAGACCCTGTCTCCCACTTGGAGTTCCTCGTGAGAGGCCTTTTGGTCGTAGTACGCTTTGCGTCCTTCAGCTGATTTTTCCAGGTTTTTCTGTGCGAAAGCAAAAGTGTTCTTAAGGTGTCTTTCCAAGTCTTTCATGTATTGTTGTGTGGTGTAGGCTGTTGCCATGGCAGCATCGCCTGGTTGGTACAACAGGTGCAGAGGGAGAGTCATTTGTCGACCCGTCATCATCTCGAAAGGAGCGATGCCAGTCGACGTGTGTGGAGTGGCCCTTATGGCCATGAGGACCAGAGGGAGTTTCACGTCCCAGTCCTTGTGGTTTGCGGCTACGTATTTTTTCAAAATACTCACCACAGTCCTGTTTGCTCTCTCAACCTGGCCTGAAGCCTGTGGGTGGTAGCCAATATGGAAGTTGGCTTTGACGCCTAGCGTCTTCCACAGTTCCTTCATTACTTCACCTGTGAAGTGTGTACCTTGGTCTGAGTTCACCCTAAGGGGAAGTCCAAACCTTGAAAATACATGATTCATTAACAACATAGCAGTGGTTTGTGCTGTGTCATTAGGGGCTGGTAGACATTCTACCCATTTGGTAAACGCGCAGGTTACCGTGAGAAAATATTTATTTCCTCTAGAGGTCTTAGTGAGTGGTCCGACCCAGTCAATCTGGAGGTCCGACCATGGAAATGCAATGCCTCTACTATGCAGTGGTGCTCTGTGAAGTGGTCTGGATGGTTGAAACTGGCCACAGATCAGGCACCCTTTTATGTAGTCCTTGACATCCTTTTTCATTCCAGGCCAATAAGCAATTTGTTTTAATGCTTTCAGCGTGACATTGTCACCCTTATGTCCTGCGGACGGAAGGTCATGTGCATGGACTAACATCACCCCCCTGTGGTCATGGGGGACCACGAACACAGGTGAGGACGTCCGTCCATGAGCGAAAGTTAGGATGCCCTTAAGTAGTTTTAGCTGTTTGCGCAGCTGAAAGAGGACTTTGAGGTCTGGATTGGAATCCAGCTCATCTTTCGATGGAGTGTATTTGTCTGGGTCAGTCAGATACAGCATCATCGAGTTAATTGCAGGATCCAACTTCTGAAGTTGGATGATGTCTGGGTCAGTCAGCATTGGGCGCACAGAAACTGTGTTATCAGCAGGTTTAGCTGCAGCTTGTGCACGTGTGACTGCCATTACCTCAGTTGTAGCTTGTGACGACTGAGTGTTGAGTAGCCAGGAGGGGTCGAAGGACCACGTGGGTCCGTCAACGGCTCCTTCTTTGG